TCCTCATCCCTCAAACCCCAGCCTGGGAGGCACCCCATCCTCATCCCCCAAACCCCAGCCTGGGAGGCACCCCATCCTCATTCCCAACCCTCCTGTCTGCGAGACCCCCAGCCTGGGAGACACGCCACCGTCATTCCCCACCCTCCTGATTGGGAGATTCCTCCATCCTCTAGCCTGAGAGACAACCCCCACCCTCATTCCTCCCACATGCAAGATGCATGTACCCCTAGTATTTACCCAAGTGAACATGTACCTACATACTCAAGGAGCATGTACCTTTACACACAAAGTGCATGCATTCTTATACACGTACCCAGGGGGCTTATATGCTTGCACATTTACAGGATAGGGGGCATGTTCCCTTACACATTCACCCAAATGGGGTGCATCTTTACATATGTACCTGTAAGTACCCTTGTGCATGGACCAGAGGGGCATATACATATATCCAAGGGGCAAGTATTCCTTCATGTAACCAAAGGGGGGGATCCACGCTTACACAAATACACGTTTCACATGTACCTGAGGGTCATGGACTCTTCCAAATGTGCTGAATGGAATGTTTTTTTTTTTACACATGTTCTTACACAGTACTCTTCCACACGTGCCAGAACAGCATGTATTCTTAAAGATGTATCTGAGTGGCATTCTCTCTTACACTCGTACCCAAAGGAATGTACATGCACACATGTAACCAAAGAGCATGTACTCACACACATGTAACCAAAGACTATGCATATGTGTGCATATGTCTGATGGGCATGTACTCATGCACATGTAACTAAGAGGAGTGCACTGTTACACGTGTCCATGATATATGTAGTCTTACATGTACCCAAGAGGCATGTGCTCTCACGCATGCAAGGGAGAGTATGTAGTGATAGCCATATACATGGGGGGAATTGTGTTCTTACACGGAACCAGGGAAAGAGCAACATGAAGAGGGTTATTAAAAAGGAGGTGAGAATGCAGTATTGTTTAAAGTTGCAATCAAAGTTATGAGGAGGAATGACACTGTAGAAGGAGAACAATTAAGAGACAATCACACAATGGGAGTATACGTTTAGATGAAGTTAGAAGAGCAAATCTATAGATAAATTTCTGAGAAGTGCATAAACAATAAGGCAGTGATACTGGAAGATTCCAAGCACCCTGATACTAACTGGGAATGAAATTAGTGTGAAATACACCAAGGCAGCAGAATTTTAAAATGCTTTCAGGAGAACCTTTATAGCTGATCATGATGGGCTTGATTCTGGCCTGGGTTTTTGGGGATTAAAGCTGGGCAAGTGGGAAGACTCTCAATTAGAGAGCATGTTGGCAGAAGTGATCATAATTCAACGACATTTAGAATGGTCACGTGATAGGGTGAGGCTAGATCAAGGGATTAAAAACCTCTCAGCTGGGGATCAATTAATTTTTACAAGCTGAAACATGATTTCAATAAATTTGGCTGTAAACAATGCTTGAAAGTTAATTAGTGCCAGATCAATAGAAGGCAATCAAGGAAGAAATGGTGAGGACACAGAACAAGTTGTCCTGCTATAAAAAGGGATGGGCAAACAAATCCACTGTCCTCTCCACTAGCCCTCCCCTACCCCAGACTGTCAAGGAGGTAAAGGAGAAAGAGCAAAAGGTGAAAGTGACATTTGGGAAGGGTATCACAGGCTCAATACTGCAGAAAATCTAGAGGACAAAAAACAAATAGGATGAAATTACAAAGGAAATTGGAAACTAGAGAGAGGACATGAAAAGCTATTCAATTCTGAATTGGGTTCTGAAGAAGGTTCACTGGATTTGAAATGTTAACTCTGCTTGCTCTCCACAGATGCTGCCAGACCTGCTTTGTTTTGCCAGCAATTTCTGTTTTTTGTATTTGTTTCTGTTTCCAGCATCTGTATTTTTTTTTGTTATGGAAAGCTAGTGACAAGTAAATTGAAGAAAAACTTAAAGATGTTTTCCCAATGCATAAAGACCAAGAGGCTAACTAAGGAAAGTGTATTCAGGACCATAAAGGTAACATGTGTGTAGAGATGGAGGGCATTGGTATCATTTTACAGAAATGTTTTTACAGAGTAGAGGGATGACAAGCACATGTCAAACAGAGAGGCAAAGTGTGAAATGCTAAGTGAAATTAATATAGTGAGAAAATAAATGTCAATGGGCTTGAAATCAGATGAAAACCGAGAGCCAGATCAAATTTACCAATACAATGCACTACAATATCCTCTTATTGTCACATGTGCCCCATTGTAGTAGTACAATGAAAAGCATTTACAGAGTCTGCCTTCTTATAGCGACATCTAAGGTTCAAATACCTAGGTACAATTCTTGGATACAGCACACAGGTAAAAGTAGTTGCTTAATTACATAGTTGAAAATAAGTTAAAGATAGAAATATATTAAGGGGTATATTAAGGGGGTTAACATTACAGTGTATTAAGGTAAGGATTGTCCCCTCAAACCGGTCCCTGTCCAGGACTCACTGCCTGCAGGCTGCTCCAGGAGCAGCTTCCCATGTGCTGCTGCGGGGTTTCTCTGTGCTGCTCTGTGCTCACAGCCCATGTGCAGCTCCAGAGCTCGCTGCTCGTGGTGTTCTAGGGCTCATGGGTGCACCTGCAGGCCCCTGAGCACAAGGCCATGCTTCTCGCTCCAGTCCTCCGCGAGCCTCGGCCCACGCTCGCTCCGGTCCCCCGCGAGTCTCGGCCCGCGCTCGCTCCGGTCCCCTGCGAGTCTCGGCCCGCACTTGCTCCGGTCCCCCGCGAGTCTTGGCCCGCACTTGCTCCGGTCCCCTGAGAGTCTCGGCCCGTGCTCACTCCGGTCCTCAACAACTCGACCCTCCATTTGGGGTTGTGGGGGGGATGGAGGAGAAAGGGAAAAAGAGAAAAAAAAGGGAAATGGGGTAAAGGACCTGGTGAGCAGAGGAGCTCTGACTGGAGTGTCCTACTGTGCCACCATCTTGGAATCAGAGGCTATGGCTTGAAGAAGAGAAGGAACAGCAGAAACTCTGGCCATCATTTCCAAATCTCTTACTGTCGGCATATGCCAGAAGACTCGATAACATTGTTCCAGCATTTTGAAAAGAGAGAAAGGCATAATCTGAGTAATTACGGGCCAGTGAGCCTCATCTCAGTGATGGGAAATTTATTGGAAAATACTCTAAAGGACAATAGATGTTCATTTAGAAAGATATGATTTAATCACTGTTAATTATCACAGACTTGTTAAGGAAATGTCATGTCTGATCAACTTGATCAAATTTTATGTGGAAGGAGCAAGGAGGATAGATAAGGGAAATGTATTTGATGCAGTCTCTATGGATTTCAGCAAGGCATTTGATAAGGTTCCACATGATTGACTGTTCATGAAATTAAAAGTCCATAGAATTCAAGGCAAAGTGGTAAGTTGAATCTAAAATTAGCTCAGAGGCAAAAAGCAAAATGTGTTTATGCCTGAAATGCTATCTCCAGAGGGATTTCACAATGATTAGTAAGGAGTCCCTTGTTTTTGCTGATTCATATATCAATGGTCTAGATTTGACAGCACTGTGTATGATTAAGAAGATTGCAGATGATTAAACAATTGATTCTGTGGTTTGTAATGAAGAAGGAAGCTGAAGAAACCGTGGGAAGATATCAGTAAATTAGTCATGTGTGTAGAATTCTAGCAAATCGATTTGAATCTGGAGAAGTATGAGGTAATATATTTAGGGAAGGCAAACAAGGAAAGGAAATACACAATAAGTATATGAATTGATAGGCACACTTTGCACCTTCAACATTCATTGTCTCCACCACCAATGCACAATGGCAGCAGTGTGTACCATCTACAAGATGTACTGCAGTAACTCACGAAAGCTCATTCTTTAATACCTTCCAAAGCCTGTACCATTTAGAAGGACAAGGGCAGCACAGGCATAGGGACGCTGCCATCTACAAATTCCCTTCCAAGACACTCACCATCCTGACTTGAAACTATATTGCTATTTCTTTCACAGTCACTGGGTGAAAATCCTAGAACTCCCTCCCTAACAGCATTGAGGGGGTACCTACCCCAAGTGGGCTGTAGCATTTCAAGAAGCAGCTCACTGCCACTTTCTCAAGGAAAATTAACGATGGGCCTTAAATGTTGATTTAGCCAGCGATACTTACATCCCATGAATGAATAAACAGAACATAAGTAACAGAGGAATGGAGGAACCTTAGAGTGCATGCCCATTCCTGGATAGAATGATAACGTGGTCAAAAACGCATATGTGACCCTTGACTTTACTGGTAAAGGAAAAGAATACAGAAACTGAGAAGTTATGCTGAACTGTATAAAACACAAATTGGTCCACAGTATTGCATGTAATTCTGGTCACCACTCTATAGGATTATAATTATGTGGTTGCACGAGAAGGGGTGTAGAAGAGAGCATATTGATTCAACTGAGAAATGTTAGTTATAATGAAAGATTGATAGACTAATGCTCCAAGATGTGCTTTCACACTCCTCAATATTAAAACTTTCAGATCCTTACAGTGTTATACAATAACCAGCTTTGTTTATTTTGACA